TTCTTTCCTGAAGGTGGTAAACCAGATGATATAACAGTACTACTGGCTACTGTAGCTATATGAAATAGCTCCATTTGCCTAGTTTGTTGTCATTCATATTTGTATCATACAGTAGTCCCCTTTCAATAGGGATAGTCTCATTTACATGTTTACATCAAGAGGTTGTGTGTTGGGACCAAGAAAGGGAATTGTAAAAGTGTTCTACAACCAGTAGAGACACCCTTACTTGGTCCAATGTTACCAGAGGATTAAATCAGTGCCAGGATGCAGTCAGTGAAAATAATGTTATTTACTGTATTTACTGTACTTTTAATCATTATTCAAATGTGATTTTTGCACAAATGTTTTGAATCTTTTACCTAACGTGCTATGAAGACTGGTTTGTTATCCTCTTTGATTGTGATGTGCACTGTTGATAGTTGCTATAAGATTGCATTGTTTTCGTATGGCAAGCGTCTGCATTTGCCATCATAAACAATTAAGTCATGATAATGTTATGACTTTTGTCTACTTTGTTGAGTCGAATGTCTAATTCGCTGCCCTTGTTATCAGGAGGATCAACTTTTGCCTCCCTTGTCATGTTGTTAGAGTTTTAATACCATAGATTGTAATTGTTGTCATTCAGTAAACAAACATTTCTCGGAGTGAGTCTCCAATGTAAATATTGTCCATTTTCATCTGAAGAATTAGATAGCAAGGATTACATAAACCTTGGTAAGAATCAGTTTCACTTTGCATTTACTCAAAATTGTTCATTTGTGTAATTTAAGAATTTTTTTTAATTTTAATTTGTTAAGTCATCAAGATGGTATTCATTTTGTTTGTGATTCAAGCTCAAATGGAAACTATTGTGAGTTTATTGTGTAGGAGCAAGATTGAGGTTGCTTTCTTAGTTGTGTTTGTGTTTTATGTTAAGTGAAAGTTAGTGCTGTTGTGATAGTATAATGCTCACAAGTTCTGGTGCTTACAAATAACATCAGTTATTGCTCCTAGATTTCTGTGTGAGTGTAGACGGGCCTAGAACAAGAAGAACTGTTTTTAAATATCCGGTGAGAATAATTGTCAGTGTAAGATTCAGATGAATTTTTGCTGAATGGAAACCATCATTACCAAATGTCTTTCAGTTAATTTTTTTTCTTTCTTTTTAAACTTTGAGGACTTGTTCGTGAAATCAGATGCCTGTAGTTGTAGAATAATTATAGAGCTCAATAATGCTACAGTAGGAATTTTAAGTTTTGAGTGACTGTGACTGAGGAAACAATGCTCATCTGTGTTTTAGGGGCCCAGGTCTATAATATCAATTGGCATATATGCTGTGCCCCAAGTCATGACATTACACATTTTTAGTCTATACAGTTTGATTCTAGTATGGAAATAAAGAAATCACTTGCTTTTGTAATATCTCTGATACTCGTTTACTTACTAGTCAGTTTTGTGGCTTGTGATTAAATTTCTATCTGATTTCAGTGTGATAGGTGCTAATGATTGGTTGTTATTCAATTCAAGAATTGATGTGGAGGAATAATAAGCATGTCAAAGTGCAGGATAATAAAAAATGCTTGGGTCCTCTCCTATTTGTGATTGTTTACTCATTTTCTCACATAATACACTGCTAGCTATCTAGGTCACAAAATTTTAACTAGGTAATTGCTGATTCCATGATTAGGACTTGGTGACACTGATTCATTGCATACCTCAAATCAATGATCTTTAGAGTAGTGAAATTTAATTAATTATACCATCAGTAAAGTGTCACTAGTAAAAACTACTCCAATAACAAGTTATAAGAATATTTCTTTAAAGGTGCAACAAAACTGTCATTACAAAAATTTTGATAACCTAAATTAAAAGCAAAAGCTGGCATTGACTCAAAATTCATTTCCAGAATATGTATATACAAAACTTATAACTTAAGACATATTTACACAAAATTAAAGAGCATATATCTTCAATGTTCTGTCCATACTGGTTGAGGCAATATACTGGGCATTTCTTCCAAACCGTACACCAGTTGCCATAGCAGTGTGGTCATTAAATACTTTAAGTTCCTGCCACTGTTTGCATAGGTACACTCTGTAAGAAAGTAAAATGGAATTGAAAAAGGTGCGCAATTAGGTTAGTTTAAAGAATGAAAACAAGCTCATCATTTGAGTGCATAGCTTGCAACAAATGAAACCTACCTGACATCTGTGCCAGCAAGAGCAAGGTAAGTACCGCTTTGATCAAAGCACAAGTCCTTAATTTCAAAGTTATCATCCAGTTGTAAGGTTTTGAAGTTTTTGAGTTTCCGTAAATCCCATAGTTTGACACAGGCATCGTCAGCGGCAGTGGCAAGGTAATAACCATTTTCAGAAAACGAAATGGCTGTGATAGGACCAGAATGACCTGCAAAATAATTTTATTTTAAGATATGTTACAAATACAATAGGGTTATTACTAAACAAGGCTTACAAATCAGAAAGTTGTGATCAGTGAATAAGAATAGTACAAACCAGCAAAGTTGGCGACATTAGATTGTTCTTTCAGATCCCAAATCTTCACTTGCGAGTCTGCAGTACCCGTTCCGAAGATCAAACCGTCAGGATGGAATTGGGCAGTGGTAAGTCCTGTAGAAGCTTGGTCAATAACCTGAAGAATAAAAAAGAAAAAATAACATCTGTGAAACAAAATCTAAAGCTGAAGTTCTAGCTGAAATCATTGAATGAATCATACTTTTGTAAGCAGTCTTCCTGATCTGATGTCAGAGAAGGCCCAATGTTGATCAGTTGATGTAGACAGTACATAGTCGCCAGTGGGGTGAAGAGATAATCCAGTGACAGGGCCATCATGAACACGCAAGAGCTGAGTTGTTTGAGATACAGGAACATTCCACACTCGAATTGTTGCATCAGGGGAGGCAGTCAAAACAATATCCTGCAGAACAATTAATTCTCATTTAGTTCTTCAAATCATTTAAACTTAAACATAAATGTCTAAAGCCTTATTAAAAGAAATTACCTCGTCAGGGTGATAAATGACTCTGGTGACTTTCTTGGTGTGGCCCTTCAAAATGGCAACAACTTGTTCAGTATCTTTGTTGAAGACAGTTGCATTGCGATCGTTTCCTCCAGTCAAAATTTTGCTGGTGTCTGAACTGTGTACATCAAGTGATAAAATACCAGGAACACTGGCACTGTGTAGACCCTACAAGCCAAAGGAAAAAAGCAATTTACATTGAACAGGTGTGCATGTGCAATCAGCTGCATCAATTTCAACATATTTTGACAAACAAATGCTTACAGGATGAGATGAAATTGTATGGAATCCTCTAATTGCATCCACTCCAATGAGATCTTCTGGAACAGTACGGCCCCGCTTCTTTCGCTCTTGAGTAAGGACAGTTGCTTTTTCTTGCAGCTTCTGAATAACTTCCGCTGTCATACCAGCTTGTTCTGCAGGCTGGACAGCCACTCCAGTAGCCTCAGCAGCAACCGCCTTAAATTTTACAGAGAAGTTTCAAGGTTGTCTATTATTAAGATATTATTCTATTATTAAGATAAAGACAGAAAAAGAATCAGAATATCAATTACCGGCTGTTGAACACCAGCTGGAGCTGCCATGGCACCAGCTTGGGGTTTGAGAGTAGCCAAAGCTTCACGGGCAGCCATGACCTCTTTCTGCAGACGAGCAATAACTCGGCAAGCAGCGTCATGCTGGTAAAGGGCGTGACTGAGCTCTTGGCGGGCAGTCTGAAGTTGCTGTCTTTGGGTGAAGCTGTGAAGCATTACGGCATCCCACTCGTCTTGTAAAGTTTTCAGTATGGCAGGTATACTTGTAGCTGATGGTGGTTTTGGTTTAATAACAGCAGAGGCTATATTGGAGAAATTTGAAACATACAAATTGTCAATTATTTCAAAATGTAGAAATACTAATGAAACAAATTAATGACTATGTACTCACTCTTAATTTCAATTAACATATCTGCAGACAATTCCTTTCCGTTAATTGGATCAACGCCATTTTCAATTAAATATTTCTCAATAAGCCGCCTCTCAAAAATGGACCCAGACACAGGCGAAAGCACAGGGTGTTCGGGCACCTCATTGGAAACTGGAAGAAAGTGTTTTTGTAACGTTCAGTAGAGAAAACTAAAACAATTAAAAGAATAGGTCCTTAGAAACGTACACTGACTAACACATTCTACGAGTACAAAGGGGATTATAAAGAATGTAAAAAAAGAGAGGTTATCTTTTCAAGGCACTGAAGATAGGAGGTTCCAGGAATGTTTCTAACCTAAAATGAGCCTTCATTTTGGTCAAAAAGATTTCATGCACTAAGCAATTTATATTTTCCAAAACGAAAAACAAAGCGAAAAGGGGACTACAGTTGGAAAATGGGTTATTTAATACAGGAAAATGCCCAACAAAACAAGGGGCAACCAGAATGCCGCTAGTCGGATGTCGCAAGATTTTTTCACAAACTAATACTTACTGGCGCAACACAGCGACATGATGAGGCGTTGCTTTCAATTAAACTTTTTAGAACAAATTAGGATTATTACTTCCTGGACCGCAAAGAATATACAGATCTTGAAAACAACAGAAACCCTTGCCGGCGCCGCTCCCGCAGCACGCTCGCTCGCTCCAAAACACTCGGGGTGCGTTCGAGAATGTGAGTTCACAATATACCCGTCTCTCGCACTCTTACCGAAATGTACAAGTGCAAGGGAGATAGAAGAGGCAGGCGCAACTTCGGGAGCCTCCGATGGACCTGCGCATGCGTGGAAATCTTCGTTTTGGGCGGGCTCATTGGGCTCATTCAAAGCAGAAGGCAGACAAGCCTCGTCTAATTTCCTGTTTATTATACAATAATTGTTTTATAAGAGTTGCACACTTCTTAAAATGCATATGAGGAAGACGAAAAGCGGAAGTCACTTTTCGGTGGTGGTGGTGGTGGTGGTGGGGGGGTTAATAAGTTAAACTGGACCAATAATCAATATTACGGTTGGAATTCCATGATTTCGAGTACATTTGAATTTCTTTGCGTAAAATTTTATTTCCATGTGTTGCCTGATTCTACCTGTTTAGTATTCTGGTACGGTACGAGGCTGGATCCAGGTGGTTGGTCTCCCCTCCTAACGTGTGCCAGGCCTACACACAATAGTGTCGCGGGTTTGCCTACTCCAGGAGCGAGTTGGTGCGAGTAGGCAAACCCGCATTCGACATCTAAGTTGGCAGTACAAAATTCAACTGGACACTATGAGGACACCATTTGCAAAAACTCACGTGCGACGTCCACCGGGACCGGGCCCCATAGAACTCCTCGACGTCTCTCGAGATTTTTGTCCGTTCCCCATGGTGACCCATCCTTACGTGATTTTTGAACTGGGTACTGCTAAGATCCGATGCTAGTTGCGCGGGGTGTACTTAAACATAGACACGTACCTGTCAAAGTTGTTTCAATTGGACCTTTTGATGATGATAATCGCATTGATATCCCCAGGACCTAGGACGATCATGCCCTCAAAATTTCCCTATTATACAGGGTGGTCCACAGGACCCTTCCTTTAATATGCTTATACTGTACCCCATGCAGGAGTGCGGGCGCGTTGCATACTTACACGGAGCCATAAGGCGCCGTGGTGAGCGACGGTAGGCAAGCACGCACGCTCGCTTGCACGCGGTACACAGGATATAATCAAACAAAACAAGGGAAGGGGTCTGTGGACCACCCCCTATGTGTTCTGCTTGGATCGAAAGACACTCTCCTTCAGCAGTGCAGAGGGATCAAAGTGAGCACTAGCATTTCTTATTCACCACTTAAGAGCGCCCTTCCTTCATCCGCTGCTGGCGCGCATTTAGACCTATCCAGCTGGACTTTGGCCCTTCCCCCTTTTCCGTCCCCGTCATTTTTGGCGTCCTGGGTTGTAACTCCTCTTGCCTTACAAAGACGCACTCAATCACACTCCCGTTCAACGTGTTGTGCGTCGTCGATGGGACGAAAAGCAGGCTTTCCCCGCGTGTGAAACAAATGCCCGTCACTGAAATGCAAATTTGAAGGAAAACACGTAATAGTACCTAGGGCCTCTTGGGGCGCGCCAACGCTCGCGCTGCTGACGTGGTCGTTGGCTGCGGTGACGACGGCCGCCCGCCGTGGCCGCGGGCTCCTCTGTCGAATGCTAATAAATACCCTGTCCGACCCGTGACCCCGAGCGACCCTTAACGAGGACGGATCGGGGTCGGGCTAGCCCTGGCCATCAGAACGTCCAATGCGCTATAGCTCAGTCCCGGGGACCCTGCTGCTCTCTGGCGTGGCACTAGGTGGCACATAGAACTTGTGTCTCCAGGTCCCACCAACACCCTCCCTGGGAAGCCACCGCCGCCGTCCGGGAGAGCCCCTCGCAGGTCCTGGGGGGGCTGTTCCCAGCCCAGTGCGACCGGCGCGGGCGGGACGCCCGCCGGGTAGGCCACCCATCGGCCGGAGGGGAGGGCTGCCTTTCGGGCTGCCTACCCGGCAGGCCGGCCCAGCCGCTCGGCAAAGGGAAAGACCACACTCTGCGACACTCCGCGTATGGGGCGGTTGAAAACGTTTGTTTACGGGGTGGGGATCCAGATATTATGGGGTCAGGAAGCAATTGGAGTCCATGGAGCCCCATGATATTTGAACAACGGGGTAAAAATATCATGGACTCTAACGATACCGTCCGGATCTTTCTGGAACTATCCGGTGCAGTACGGTCCAGTCCACGTGGTTTCTGAAGCCCCCGATCGGGCGCAGTGCTAGGCGAGGGCGAATGTCAAATCACACAAATAATAGGGAATCCCGCGCAGCTGCCCGAGATGTGCGGGAGCATTTCAGTCTTCTGAAATGGCCGCCGATGTGGTCGGTGGAATGGCGGAGGAGGGGTATGGCGCCGCGGTGTGCGAAATGACTGGCGAAACGGGAACGGTGTGTCTGGCCGGCATATCGGCTGTCGATGTCGTTCCAATACCCCCATCGTTTCGCACCGGAAGCAAGGTCTCCCGACCCGGCAAAGTTGATGGGAATGGAGGAGGCGGCGAGCTGCACTGCGGGCCCTACGCCGGCGCCAGGAATGGGTTAAAGGGACTATAGAGGGACTCAGGGACTCTAGAATGGGTTTGACGTGAAGCAGGGCGAGCGCGGCCCTTGGGCGGACTCAGGATGGCTGCGGTGCTGCGGTGCTTAGCTGCGCGGTGCGCGGTGGCCTCGGCCGATCTTCCTATGACCCTTTTTACACTGTAAATCTGGGGTACTTGTCAGTCTCCTATACTGGACGCCTTCTGATTCGCAAAAGTCCCGCGGCGCACAACCCGGGCGTAGCTGCCCCAGGGGACAGAAATTTGGTCAATATGATACGCCAATTTAGTCATCTGCATTGACACAAATTACGTCACTAGGATGTCACGTGATGTCCTCATGAAGTCAATGTAGTCTGTCGAGATGACTAAATTTTGAGCAGGGACAGAACTTGGCTTAAAGTCACCTTGACGGGACGCCGTTTACATTGAATCTGTATTCGAGTTTTGCCTCTTGCTGTCTATCCCCCCCGTATCCTCCACCGGCACCGCCCCGCCCGTCCCGGCCCTCTGACACAATCACGATCACCGTCCTCCCAAACGCCACAGGAGTCCGTGATTATAAAGTCTCGCGTAATGACAACAAAAGGCTTGCGGTTGGCGCGTGAATGGCGCGTAAATGGGGACAGAATAAAAATTCTTCCTCTCCAGAAGAACTGCGTCACCCACGCGGTCGACCACCCCGTCAGCTCGTCGTTATCTGGCGGACACCGTCTGCTGGAGCGGCCGCTGCCGTCAGCCCGCCCCGCGCGGGGAAGTACCAAGACGCAATACAATAATTGTGATCGGGGGAGGGTGTGTCGCCTTAACGTTCCAGTTGAAGCATCGACCTAATTCTGGCCATCGGTCGTCGCGGCCACGGCCACGCCCCCGCCAAGAGACTACAGATGCCGGGCGCGACGCGACGTCACACGTCACCCTAGTGTCACCCGCGTCACGGGCAGGTGCGACACGGGCGCGACCCGCGGGGGCTGGTGGTGAACGATGAATGGTGAATGCGTGAATCAGGTACCTGCGGCGCCTTTACGCTAACCTCCGAATAAACTGACCCAACCAGTGGGGACTGAACTTCCCTCGTAACTCTAGTGTACCCCAACTAAGGGTCAATAACCATTCCCATTCGGCGCCGGTAATTATTTTTTTTCACCATAAAATTCGTATCCTTCATGCCCAGTCAGAAACTGATTGTCAAGGGTTTGCCAAATTATGCCAGGTTGATTTCATGGAAATCATGTCACCAATTTTGACCACGGGATGGTGTGGTGACAACTTTTCCTACCGTTTCTTACGCAAATTGCGCAAATCGAGCATCAGCTCTGTAGTGGTCAGATATTCCGAATCATTCGGTCAAGGAGTGGCCCCAAAGCCTCTCCCCGCCCCGCCCCGCGAGGCGCCTGGCCAATCTCTTTTCCCCACCCAGGCCCAGACTCTGCTTAGGGCCTAAACGCCGCCGCGGCTCAGACACCTGTTGCGCGTTCTGCCGAGTTCTGCCGCCAGAGCGCGCCCCGCCCCGCCTTTCGCCCCACCGACCGCGAGCCAGCTGGTTGAGTGGACCGCAGCGCGAGCGAGCGCCTGTCCCAGTCAAGTTCAGGCCGACCTGAGGGCGAGTTGGCTGACACGGCCACGCACGGCTCTCCTCCGTCCTGTATTTGGACTCGCCGTGGCTCCCGCTCGGCTCGGTTGTCTTCCCCGCGATTCGCCTCTGCGCTGACGACGACGAAATTTCCGCGCCCAAACTGTCCGGAAACAAAAGAAAAGTAACCGGAGTCTGAGCCGTCGCCGACATTCTAACCTCAAAATACCAGACGAGTGCTTCGTTCTTTATCTGCAACTTCCCTGTCGACGACTCGTTTGAAACAAGCAGCGATTCGCTTCATCCCGTGCAGTGGACTTTGTGATTTTCGCCTTGTGAAAAGAAATAAATAAGTGAGTAGCTCTCTTCGTTTGTGGGCGAGCCTTCTTTTTTCTTTCTTTTTTTTGAGTGACAAATAGTTGACTTTCTCTGACGAGCCGTCAAGTGCTGAGGTCAGCGGTCATCAGTCGGATTTCTCTCTTCGTAGTCTTCTGTCGGAAAGTGAGTGCCACTGAATTCCAGGCAAGTGTCTAGTGCGCAGCGGCCAGCAGACGAGTTGCGTTGTCATGATGCCATGGGCGCGGGCCGCTCCGCTGGCTGGCGCGGCGCGTCCCATGCGTCGTCAGCATCAGGCAGACGGGATTCTGGAGGGGGAAAGGGTTTGGGAAGGGGAAGGGGGAGGGAAGGAAAGGGGAAAGGAGTCGTCGTGGTCTGCTTGGACATCAACAGGAGCAGGAGATTCCTGTGTACACCAAACACAATTTCCCTTCCATTCTTGTACAGAATTTTACAGTTCTGGGTCTTTCGGCTGAATCTAATAAATTAAAATGTGAAGAAGCGTGTAAAGTATTTTCTTGAAAGCATGAAGATTCATTGGAGGAATCTGTTATTTAGTTACTTCTAGTAACCTTTAAATAAAGGTACAGTACATGGTCTAATGTATGTGTCAAATTATTGTTTGACAAAACTCTTTAATTCTGAAGTAATGTTCCTCAAACGAAATCTTGTCGCAGTGTCAAATATTATATGCGTTACGTTTAAAGTTTGTTTTCTTTTAAATTAGTGGCAGTAAGTTTATTTACTCTTATGAGCCAGGAGTCTTATAAGTGTTACGTAGTATCAATATGTCAATCAATCTTTCAGTGGTGAATAAGTTCTGAAATCATTGTCTGATTCGCTGTGTGTAATCTTACCTGTGCAAAGCAAGGCACTTATCGGGAGAATGCAAGGTTGTTATTTCTTCAGCTCTGGTAAATATATTAAAAAATAACAGACAGCTTTCCAGACTTACACAAGAATTAATTTGTTATCTTTCCCTGCTTGTCTAAGACATGACAGCCTTGGCATCATTCTCTTGAAAACCTTTGTTTTAAGATAAGAAACCCTCTCTTTGTACAAGTGCTTAAACTCAATTTTCAGCTGTAAGATCATTTACTAGCGGGGTAGAATTTGACTGAAGGGCTCCATATGATGTGATTTTTAAGTTACCAGGCAGTCTGCCTGTATTCAGATGACTTTTCATATCTGTCATTTCCTATTTAATGTGTGAAACCGGGTGTCTGGTCCATCCAGGTACTGCATTGGATCCACATCTGTCTGCTAAGTCTGGAGTTTTCTTCATTTCACATTTCGCCCTCTTCAGTATCTATTATGCATGACGGCAGGCGGCGCGGGGTACAACGATGGAAACGTTTCCGTGACGGGTCTGTAAACCCACGCAACTCTGTGCGCTCTGCACTGCAGTTCCGGTCATTCCCCTGTGTGGGGCCCCCGCACCACACTGGCTGGCTTTCAGAGAGAGGTTTTTCGGGACCCAGCCGAGGTTGAATTTCCCGCGATGACACAGAGTGCCTCTGCCAGCCAGCCAGCTCGGGCCACACCATGGTGACCTACCCGTATAGTACACGTGTTGCCGGCCGCGGCCGCCGCTGCAGTTCTGCATACTGGGAAGGGAATTACGCTGACGCAGGGGAGGGCAGACGGTTTGGGGGAGAGGAGGGGGTGCGGGGGTTGGGTGAGGGTGTCTCATTATGAATAATGCAGGCGCGTGGAGTACGTGAGCAGGCGGAGCAGGCCCTGCTCGGGCTGAGGTGAGCCCGCCGGGCCACCCGCCGGGCCACCCGCCGGGCCACCCTCGTGAGAAAGTAAAGGGTTTGGTGTTCCTTTCAGTGCGGTGCGCGGCGCGGAGCAAGAGTGAGGCGCAAAGCGAAGGTGGGTGACGCGTGTGTGTTTACCATGTGGCCACGCCGGAGCGCATGGATGGCTTGGTGCCGCGCATTTATTATTATTGTACGTTTTGCTTTGCCCCGCGGGCGCCGGGGCGCAAGGGTAAGGGTGGCAAGGATGAGGGGCGGGAATGAGTGAATTATTTAAACTTATTTGAAGACGCTCTCCGGTGGCAACGACGCGGTCTCTAAAGGAACCGGTCGGTCAAAATTGATGAATTTTTTTTCCACGTGAGTGATGGCGATGGCATTAATTGGCCCCCTCCCTGTTAACGCCAGTAAACCGTCCATACAGGGTGAGTGATCTGCGCCGTCCCTTTTTCTCTTGTGATACTGTACCGGATTCGGGCGTGCGGACGGGTTGCATATTCGCACGGAGCCGCAAGGCGCTATGACGAGCGACGGTAGGCAAGCCCGCCCGCACGCACGCCTGAATCCGATGTACAGTATAATCGGGTGAAAAGGGAGGCGCTCTATCTTGGCAATTTTTCGTATGTACACTACTGCATATGGGACACGTAGTACTGCAGTTCGTAGTGACGAACATTTTCGTGCTGCAGTTGTAATAATTGCGTACCGTTTTCAGTTCGCCACCTACAACTGCAGAATAAAGTGTTTGCCACTTACTACAACTGTATAGAACAGCCAACAGCTCTGCGCCTAGATTTGCAGAGCACTATTGGCTCTCGTTGTGCAAGGTCTTTAGGTCTAGATTAATATATTAGGCCGCGTGTCTGTAAATACACCGACTGCCCTGCGCATGTGTGGGTGTGGTGTGGTGCGGTGTGGTGTGGGAGGGGGCGATAGCGAGTCGTCGTTGTCTGTTCAGCAGGTGAATCGCGAGATAGTGAGTGGCCACGCTGCCACTCGGTGCTTCGCGTTCGAGAGCGCAGAGAGTTCTCCACCATCATTTGGCCGCACAGGTTATTGGCGGTTCTTATGTAACTTCCCATCCGCCGGTCGGTCGGACGTCAAGTGCGGCGAGAGAAATAAAAATAAAGCAAACAGTGTCGGACTTCCGTACTTTGCCTTGTGCCGCCAGCTGGAGGAAGGGGGGACAGAGATAATGTTCCTCTCCAAGAAATAATGTAAAACAAATTTGGCATTGACCTTGCTCGAGGTGCGTTGATCTGTCTCCTGGAGGGGAGGAGAGGCAATTGGTGGTTGGAGGGGAAGGGGGAAGGGGTGACTTCTACTGTACTGCACTCGCCGCGTTGAGAGGTCCTGGTCCGCCCTTGAACCTGTCGCTCTGCCGTCCGCCTGTCCTGTAATCAGACTCGTGTTCGCGCCTTCGCCGAATCCGTAGGTGTTTTCTTGCTCTGTACATTCTTATCGGCTTTTTTTTCTTTTTCTGACTCCTTAAGCCGTATTAATTCATTATAACCTGCCAACATTGCGTCAGCTCTCGACAGTACTCTATTTTTCGCGCTCTTCTCTGGACGTCCCTGCTGCCGATTTCCCCGAGGGGGCCTCAACTCAAGCAATCTGGTGTACACCCGAGTGTACACCTACCCCGGCAATCTACGATAATCTTCGGCAATCTCTACGTAATCGGTTGCAAAAGCCATGCTTTTTGCCTACATTCAGGGTAACATTAGTGCGTTTTGCCTAGTTACAGGCGGTTTATGCCCTTAAAGCTAAATATTCGTCAAGCAATCTGGCAATTTTGGCAATCTGGTGTATACATCCTACAAGAGAGTTGAGACCCCCTCGGATTTTCCTCTCATTTTCATTAACTGACTTCCGATTTTCTTCTCGTTCCTGTGGGACTTCCCCCGTGTGTTCTGCGCGTTTCTCCGCTGAATTGTCGCTCTCATTGACTCCCTAATGCATCGGTTTGTCTCGTCGGTTCGCCGACGACCTCGGGCGTCAGGCGACGCCACGCGTCGCTTCAGTTTGGTCATACTGACTATGATGAGTCGGCTTAATGATGGTCTTCATATGTTATACCAAGTCGCGGCGGCGATTCACGCGATTTTTCGTGTTTGTGTGCGAGGGTAATATTTTTTTCGCATGTTGTGATCCATTCGGGAAGCTGTAGTGTGGCGCGTGGTCGGTACAGTACGGGATGAACTTGCTCTGTCCGGCTTGTGCTCCGTTCAGCGCTTCCTCCGTCACTCTATCACGCACGGATTTATCGTCTTGTCATTGTTATTTTCATAGTGAGACTCTCGCTCTCTCTCTCTGGTTGTGAACCCCCCC